ATGTTGATGGTTATGTCATAATCTTCTATTCCTGAGTGTTTTAAGATGAGATCTTCTTCATATGCCCAGAGTCTCTTGTATGTTGTATCCAATTTTCCTTTGTAGATGCTTTTTTTTACTGGACATTCTTGCTTCCGTTGTTGTCTGGGAGATTGGGCACTTTTAAGAATGGATAAAGGGAACTGTGAAAATGTGAGGCTTGATTTATGTTGATCTTTCACAACTCACTTCAAAAAGTCTTCATAGAAAACAGTCAATTAAGAAACCAAGTTTTGCAAAAGGTCATAGCAAAAGGATGAAATTACTCCAAACATATCTCTTGGAATATGATCCAGATCAACAAAACCCCATTCAAAAAGCCCAAAACATTTTCCCTTACAAGAACATACTAATTGGGAAGCACCATCCACTTGGGCACAACTAGTACATCCTTTCTTAGCGAAGCTTCAAAGTTGTCAAATTCCCATATAGAACCGCAAGACAATTCCCTAACTACCAATCAAACCACACAAACAAATATCATGACTGCCCAATCACATTTCAACTCATATCAAATCAACATCCATTCAAATCCCACAGATACATTCACCAATCACAAACAGTTTCCTATCAAAGTTTAGAAACTCATCTAGCAGCTGAATGGGTTTTTCATTAAGTGTCGAAACCTGTGTGTGAAGACTATTGTCATCCTTTAACATTATGAATTCTATTTGAAAGATTGAGAGAGTCGGGGACTCTGGTCTAGTGAGATTTGTGATAGGAATGAGCCATTTGGAGGAGTGGTTGCTAAGAGGAGGAATTGTTAAAGTTCTGAAGGGTTCTGTAAAAATAATATCCTTTTTTTGATTTAAATAGATTATTGACATATAGCGTCTTATTCTTTCCACAAAAATAACATCTAGAAGTATATTGCCATTCAGATTTGTTGTAGTTGTCTAAGAGCTTGGGTTGTTGTCAAATATTGTAATTGGACTTTGTTTGTTATGATTGTTTGTTTTGTGTTGGGTCACGTAAATATTTGATATACGTGTTGTCGTTTACTGTTCTTTTGAGACACATGGCTATTTACACGTGACTGTTTATTTGTTAATGAAGTATGAGATTGTCTGGCTGATATTGTTGTAGTTGAAATTGATATAATCTATTGTTGATATGTTTTATTGTTGACATGATGGAATATTACTGATGTATACTTGGTAATAATACATGTCGATATGTTTTGTTAATAAGTATGTATTGTTTACTTGTTGATTGCTCCTTTTTGACTATGTGTTTGTAACACACTAGTTTTGGTTTTTATGATCTGAAAGTATGTACAATAAGATTTTCTTTTATTTCTGTATAGTTGATAAGGAGTCTGGTATCCTTCTAGCTCAAGGAAGGTGACAAGATTGTCTGATTTATTGGATGGAATCTGGCCTTCCTTGAGTTTCTACAATGTCTGAAAGAGGTGTTTAACCTGACACATGATTGGCTGTAATAGTGATAGGAATGCTGGCTTCTTGAGACCTTACTGTAAATCAGAAAGTTTGATTTTTATTTTCCTCTCTTACAGGAAAAAGACAAGTTGGTTTTTTTCTTGTAATATTTATGAATTGATAAGATTAATATAATCAATGTACTTGCAAGGTTATATCTGTTAATGATAGTTTCTTGTAGTTAAAAGTATTTTAATAAAGGAACTTGATAAGTTTTTCTTTTTTTAAAAAATATTTCCTAATTAGGAAATTTGATGATGAATGAGAAAGAGTTTTAATAAAAACAAAAAATATATAAAAAATTTTTAAGTATTAAAAAACAAAAAAATATTTATTTTTTTAATTTTTAAAAAAATTTAATTACATATTTGTAATTTATAAACTATAAATTAATTAATTTATTTTATAATTTAATAAAATTTATTAACTTTACAAAAATCATTATAATAATAAAATATAATTATCTATTTTAATAAATTTAATAGTCACAAAACATTTCCCTTAATCAAGACTCAAAATGTTATTTTTATAATACAATTTATATTGTGTGTAACAACAATGGGAAGGAAATGTCCCTTAACTATTAAGAAATTAAAGTTTAATATACTAAAATAAAATAATAATAATATACAAAAAATTAAATTTAAACTTTTTGAAAGTTTCAAGTTTTAACTTTTTTTTTTTTGAATTTAATATTTTAATTTTTTTTTTCAAAATTTTTTTAATTAAATTTTTTTTGATTTAGATTTTTTTTATGATTTGGATTTTTTTTCAGATTTGAATATTTTTTTTATTTTTTATTTAATATTAATTTTTTTTCAATTTAATTTGAGTTTTAAATTTTTTGAATAATTTTTTTGAAAGTATTTTTTTAAACTATATTATTAAATAAATAAATTATATTATAAATTAATGTAAGATAATAATTTTATTTAATTGATAAAATATTTTATATCAATAAATAAAAATAAATCTCCAAATAAAATTTTTTAAACACAATAAAAAAAACTTTTAAATGTTTAAAAAATTATTATTTTATTATTGCACATTAATGACTCAAGCCAAATCAATATATGTATGATAAGGGATCTAAGGAATGTGCTGATCAAATAAGATCAAGTTAAAACGATCATTTTCATGACAAATATTTAATTTAAACTCTATAATAATAATTATATGTTTAAATAAATATTCATATTTCATGAAATTTCGATATTATTTTTATCATTTCAGCTAACATTCATTTATTTTAAAAAAATATTTATAACCAATCATCGTATTGCAAGAACACTCAATTAATAAAATCCTCAATTTATATCATTTTCTTATATTAGAAAATCAATTAAGCCTTAAAATGGTCATAAATAATTTTTTTAAAACATAAACGAACCTGCGGAATATTTAGTTTCAGCTGGAAAAAAATAATCCAACTTACTCGTCCAGCCGCCACGAAGAGGCATATTCCAAGGCTGGGTAGCATTGTCCATACCCGATCCCTGATCAGTAATCCGAATCGGATTTATTTTTTATTAAAATTTAATAGGTAGATCCACTTATTATGTTATTTGGTATTTTTATTTAGTTTGCAGGCGATTCCTGTGACAAAAAATAATAAATTAATTGTTTCATTACACATTAGCTAATGCATGAATCTAAAACTGTTTCTTTTTTACCCTGGAGTTAAAACCGAACATTCTGTTACATCGACTTTTTTTCTTTTGTCTTAATTAAAGTTTTCCGTATTTTTATCTCAGTTTGCAGGCGATTCCAGTGACAAACAAACATCATTACCATTAGGTAATGCATGAATTTAAAACCGAACATTCTGTTACATCAACTATTATTATTTGTCTTAATTAACGTTCTCCTTTGGAAAGTAATCCGTAAGACTTTCTAACTGAAAATGACAGCAAAAAGTTCTCGCTTTGCTGAATTGCGAAACAACTTTGAACAAAATGGTTCAGTTTCTAAACCAATATTTCCTAAACCACACGCTTTAAAAAAACCCCCACAAATACCTCCACGTGAAAATTCTGTTTCAAGTCAATTCAACTCTTCAGTTGAAGCAAACGCGCATGAAAATAATCAAAGCATTAAAATAAAATCTAGGCATTCGAATGTGAATGAAAGCCAGGATGATGAAAACTACAGTTCACTAATCGATCGAAATAATATTAACGAATTAAGAAAGATTTCTAGTACATATTCAAATGGCGAAAACAAAGAAGAGGACAATGTTAAATCAAGAACATCGTTAGTCACAAAATCGAATGTTAGGAATGCGCAAAAGATAGCCAACAAATTCGCAAATTATAAAGATCAGGAAGAAAACGAAGATAATTCAAAAGCAACATCAGTTACAAACAAAAATATAAGAAACATACATAAAATATCTAACAAATATTCGAATGAAGAAGAGGATCCAGAAGAATACAACGACGGAATAAAGCCTTCATTAATTACAAAAAAAAATGTTCGAAATATACACAGGATGGCCAACCAATATTCAAATGAAGAAGAGGAACAAGAAGGGGACGATAATGGGCAAAGACCATTAATTACAAAAAAAAATGTCAGAAATATAAATAAGATAGCTAGTGGTTATTTGAATGCGGAAGAAGATCAGGAAGATGCTAATGGATCAAAATCATCTTCGTTAATAAATCGAAATAATGCTAATGGTTTGAGAAAGATTGTCGATGCTTATTCGGATGATGAAGAGGATGAACATGAACATAAAGTTAAACCATCATCATTAATTACAAGTAAAAATGTAAGAAATGTTCACAAGATATCTAATAGCCTTTCTAAAGTAGAAGGCAAAGAGGAAAACGACAACAGGCTTGAATCTTCATTATTCACAGCAAAAAACGTTCAAAAGGTGGCTAATTATTCAAATTCGGAAAGAGAACGAAAAGATAAATCACAACTATCTTCATTAATGACAAAGAATAAACCGAAAGCCGCCAGCTACTCGTATGAAGACGAAGATAACACTTACAGAAATATCTCAAATAAACCTCGATCATTATTGATCACACAGGAAAAGATCAAGAGGGTTCAGGATGACGATAAACCTCCATTACCTTCACGAAAAATTTTAAATAGAACAACACAAAAGGAAACCAATCATTCGCACGAGGATGAATATGAAGATTTAAGAGATAGATCAAACAGTGAGAAGTTTCGGAATTTAAATGATCACGATGGAAGGAAATCAAATAGCCATCATCAACCTTTAGTTTCGCGTCCAAAGTTTCAAGATTTGCAAAACATAGCATCTTCTATCGTAAAATTAGATAAAGATGGTGGTAAAAAACCTCCACCATTACCTCCCAGAAAAAATTTTACTGAAGAGCATATCACAAAGTCGATTGACGATAAAATTAAACTACCACCATTACCTCCTCGTGGTAATTCTAATCGACAGGATGCAAGTAACAGTTCGGATGTGAGTAGGGAAGCAAAAGGACCTCGACCGACTCGACCGACTTCGTACTCATCACAACGTAGTATCGAAAGTCCCAGTATTCAAAAAAGAAATTCCGGTATTTCTATCAAAAGCAATGAAAGCACTAGTAAAAGATCCGCATTTGACGATGATACGCTATATGAAGGGATCGATGATTACCCTGACCCTGTCAGGTGCGTAAAGGTTTATGATGTATATAAATCAATTCATAAAATTCTAACATGAGGGTTCAATTTAGTCGTTGCCTTCCTATTGTTGGTGAAGGTTTTGAAGGACACCTTGACTGTTCGGGTATATTTTTAAAAAATTTATTTATACTTCAATCTCTCATTCGGAATGAGAAACTAATACATATTTTTTTGTATACAGAAATCGATTTTTCAGTAGTTGATGACTATGCTAGACAAACGCCTGAATCCGAAACGGTTTCTATTGCAACGCTATCTGATTATTTAACATCAGCTTGGGATCATGATCTTTACAAGTTGCGCGCTATTTATGCTTGGATCACCGATAACATTTCATATGACTGTGAATTGTTTTATTCTGGTATCTCAACCCACTACGTTCGATGACATATAATTTGTTATAGTAAGAATATTAACAACATACACGAAAAAATATTCCTCAATTTTAGGTAATTCAAAATTTAAAATGGCAAAAGACGTTTTAAAAACCAGAACGGCCGTTTGTGCTGGATACAGTGAATTATTCTACGAATTGTCTCGCGAAGCTGATTTAGACGTATGTAAGATTGGTGGAAGTGCTAAAGGTAAATAAAAAATTTCTATAAACCGTAGAGCTATAAATAGCTACTAATGTTCTAAATTTATACTTTACCAGGTGCTGGATATAATGTTGGTGATCCAATAGGACCAGGCGATTATGCACACGCCTGGAACGGTGTATTTTATGAAGGAGAATATCTACTAGTTGATTGTACGTGGGGAGCAGGAGTTGTTTCTAACAAGCGATTCGAAAAAAAGTTCCGCTCATTTTACTTCATGTGCTCGCCAACAAAGTTAATATATTCTCATTTTCCGAATAATGTAAAAGAACAATATTTGCAGCCAACAATTACTCGCCCAGAATTCATCAATCAGCCGCATTACAAGTCAACATTTTTCGATAAAGGTCTCAGGTTAATACGCTATATTGGATGTGAAATTGAAATTCCGGATGATAATGCAATTTTGGATATAGAACAGACGATTGTTGATGGAAGTGTAAATAAAATTCAAGGCCATTTGGATTGGAAAGGTCAAAGTATTAATGCATTTACTCAAATATTATCTAATTCCGGTCCAAATGGTGGTGTGATATACAGAGTAAGGATAGGGTGTCCGACTCGTGGTGAAGGAATCTTGAATTTGTTTTATTATAATAGAGATGAAAATTACGTAAGTTTATTGTTATCGGATGCCATTTCTTTTATACGCTTATTAATACTTAATCCTAACTTATCCTAATAATCTTTTAGGGTTCACAAATAACAACCATGAAAATAAAAAACCTTGGAACGGGCACTAAATACAAGAGATTCGTGGAATTGTTTGCAGTTCCTTTCCCATGTTCGGTTATTAGACCATTTACTTCCTCACTAGAATACAACAAAAAAGTTAGGTTTGAAGTAATATTGTTTAATCAAGATGCATCAGAAATTTTGATTATTAGCCCAGGTTTTGAGAAAAAAGCATACTTGGAGCACGTGATTGAGAAGACTAGTGATTTTGGCGGCGTTACCATGAGTTGTGATGTCATGTTAAATTATAAGGGTACTTGGAACTTGGCTTTTCAAACTGGCAAAAATAACTTTAGTTTTATTGCAAGTTATGATGTACAATAATTTTAGGTTAATTGATGTCTTTAATTATAAACGCAATTTTATTAATAGAATTTTATAACTATCAAATGTAATGTGTTTTATTTTTTAAAAAAAAATAATCCATCAAATTTGTATTTTTATATTTAATAATAAATATAAAATGGATTTATCAAATGATTTTATTTTACCTACTAATAATCTTAATTTTATATTATCACTTAATTCAATTGAATTTTTACAAAATTAATTATAATTATTATATTGGAAATCTTGTCAAAAATTTCAAAATTTATATAACAGTTAAATAAATATATTGTAAATTAAACAAAATAATTTTAAAATTAAAAAAACTCTTTCTCACAATCCTTCAATTCGTAAAAAATTTCCTTTTTTGGTAACAACATGAACGGTAGACAGTAAACAGTGAGCAAGAATCTCTTTCTAAGAGAAGAGTTCATCTTAGCTTTTTGCAGGGTGCAAGGGGTCGATTAACTCTCCATAGAGGGGTGGATGCTTTGGGAGTGACAAAAACCTCTTCGATTAAACTCTTTGCTTTACTGAGTGAAACCTATGT